TGATTATATTTCAATTAAAAAAAAATTATCCATGTGGCTTACATTATATTCCTATTGGGCAATGCTGGTTTAGACTGTTAGCCAACAAAGGTAGGAACCACCTTCAGCTTCCCTACCTCTGTGTTCCTAGTACCTACCATATAGTAGGTGTTCAGTATTTGTTGAATAATTTGGCTTTTATGAGAACCCTGGGCACAGAACTGAGACAGGCAGCCCAATGTGCACTGTGAATTTGAGGAAGAAAGAAAATAGTTTTATGTTTCTCCAGTCACTGCATTTCAAGCAGGTTCTGTCGACTCAGTGTCCTCTGAACATTCTTCCCACAGTCACCTATTACTATAGATGGAGCAGGGCAGGTGACAGCTGGGGGAGCAAAGCTGGTTCAGCTGCTTCTATTTCAGTCCCATAGGAAGTGTCTGCTCTCAATTATTTTACATTCTCCAGCTTTGGTCCTACTAGCAGGAAGGGCTCACATCAACACATTGAGACTTACAGTTAGGGTAGCTGCCACCCCAAGGGGACTTGCCCGGGGTCACTGCGCAGGTCAGAGGTGAATGAATAGAGCCTGGAACCTTGATCTCCAGACTCACCTCCTGGGACTTTTGCCTCTAACTACATCCTGCTATAGTCTCCTTTACTCCAAGGGACCCAGGTGACTCACCTCCCTCTCCTCCCATGTACTTGTAATTTATTGGGGCCCCTAAGCGGAGTTTGCCTGGTCCCAGCAGAGCTGACCCAGATGGCATCATCCTCAGAGGCCAAAGTAGATGGGAGGATGGATGGATGAATGGACAGACGGACCGGTGAATGGATGGAGTGGAGGATGGGGGAACAGGTTGGCTGCGTGTGTGGGGGAGGAGGATGGTTGGCTGGTAGGGTGCCTGCATGGGGAGTGGGGCAGGAGGATGTACAAAACGAAGGAATTACCCACTTTTCTCGTCTCAAACAGAATCTGAAGATCCGAGGACCCCCAGCGATCAAAGCCCACCCCCCATCCCGTTTCCTCTAGAAACCCGAGACGGAAGGAGCTAGGCGTTTTGCCCCAGGGCTCGCAGGGATTTCCAGCAGAGCCGGAACTGGGATCTGAGTCTTCGAGCCCGCGTCTGGGGGGCTCTCTCCGCCCCCAACCCCCGCCCCGCCCGCGCCTGACCGTGCCAGGGTAGGGGGAGCGTCCCCGCCCCCACCTCCGGAGGTGGCGGCCCCACGCGGCCCCAACAGCTGCCGTTGTCCCGC